TGTCACCTCTGTGATACGTAAACGGTGATATAAAATTAACGTAAATTTTACATAAAATTGACATTACCGTTTGCCTTCCAAACAGCATGTTTACATTCATTTTACATAAGATTTATGTTAATTTTCCCCTGGCATTCCTGCGTATTAAAAAGAGTCATTCAGTACCATTGAAGAGAATTGATATACTAATTCTCCTATTATTTTACGCTCTTCAGAACTCTTGGGTGGTTGGACGAGTACACGAGTACTCATCCTCATCAGTACTCAAGAGTACTAAAGGGACCTACTAATTCCTCCTCCCATACCGGAACCTCGGGAGAAGGAGTAGGAGTGCAGAGGAGCTCTCTTTCTTTTAGGATAGAGAAAATGTAGTACTTATGTTAAATGTAGTCAGCCAAGGTTTCATATGGATGGTGTGGCGTTAATTTTGCATAATCAGAACCTCTTTAAATATGCATGAATGCCAGGGGAAAATTAACATAAATATTACGTAAAATGAATGTAAACATGGTGGTTGGAATGCAAACGGGAATGTCATTTTTACGTAAAATTGACGTGAATTTTATATTACCGTTTACGTATCACAGAGGTGACATTTCTGCAAATATGTTGACATTTTCTTGACAATGGTTTGCGTAAAAATGATATAAAATAGACAAAAAACTTATATTCATTTTACGTAACATTAACATAAACATGCTGTTTGGCCATGTACTTCACGTCAAATGGAGTGACGTCTAGTTTATGCAAAATACACGTACCATTTGGTGACGTAAATATTGGAACGTAAATTTTGCGTAAACATGATATCATTTTCGTTGCAATCGGAAGAAATTTACATTGTTTGCAAGGAATTGATATCTTGTTTACATAAACATGCTGCTTGGGATATTGAAGTAGTATTAACATGAAAGAGTAGAAAAAATTTGTGGTTATCCTCAGGAAAGAGAGAGGCGAGCGACATAACTCCCTTGTTTTTTGGGAGTAAAATCACAAACTCCATTTTCGCTCCATTTCTCGGATATCGCTCACTCTTTTCTAAGAGTGAAAGAGGCTGGTTCTCGACCATGACAGACATGAGACATGAAAACGAAAGTCTTAGACATGGCTGCCAAAATCTGAAGCATGGCTACGAATACTTGAGACCTGGCAATGACGACCCGAGACAGGACAACGAGTCAAGAGTCAAGAGTCAAGAGAGTTAGTGATATCAAGAGGCGATTTCGCCCATTTCGATATCACGTGTCGAGGTCGAGCGTTCCTTAATTTTAGGGTAGGCCTAACCCTCTTAAAGCTAAATATTTTTGTATTTTTGTTTTTTTTTTTGTTTTGTTTTGCTTTGTTTTGTTTGGTTTTGTTTTGTTTTGTTTTGTTTTGCTTTGTTTTGTTTGGTTTTGTTTTGTTTTGTTTTTTTTTTTTTTTTTTTTTTTTTTTTTTTTTTTTTTTTTTTTTCTT